TGAAGAACTACTCTGACTTTTACAGCTGTAGATGGCTTTGGCCTGTTCTTGACATTTATGTAAATACATTCATACAGCATGCATTTGTTGGGGGGTGTGGGTCTGGTTTCTTTTGCTATTTTCTAGCTTCTTGGGGTGAAAACTTAAAAGATTAGTGCTGATCCAATATATGTATTTAAAACTATACATGTTTTGCCCATGGGTGGTGGCTCAGCCTGTAATCCCAGCACTTTGGGAGGCCAAGGCCAGAGGACTGCCTGAGTACAGGGGATTGAGACTAGCCTGGGCAACTTGGTGAGACCTCATCTCTACAATAAATCATACACTCAAAAAAAACTAGCCGGGCTGTGGTGGTATGTGTCTGTAGCTACAGCTACTTGGAAGGCTGAGGCAGAAGGATTGCCTAAGCCCAGCAGGTCAAGGCTGCAGTGGAGTTGAGCGTGCACTGCACTCCAGCCAGGGCGATAAGAGTGAGACTCCAACTCAAAAAACAAATAAATAAAACTATACATGTTTTAAGGGAAGTGTTACCTGCATCCCACAATCTTTTTTTTTTTTTTGTAGCGATGGGGTCTATGTTGCTAGTCTCGAACTCCTGGCCTCAAGTATCCCACTCTGGCCTCCCAAAATGTTGAGATTACAGGCATGAGCTACTGTGCCTGGACTCCAAATATTTGTATGTCTCATATTATCATTTATTTCAAAGTAGCTTTACATTGTAACTTATTTTCTCGTTTTTTTTTTAAGAGATGGAACCTCACTATGTTGTCCAGGCTGGTCTTGAACTCCTGGGCTCAAGTGACCCTCCCCCTTCAGCCTCCCAAGTAGCTGGGACTATAGTGCTCACCACCACACACAGTTCATTGTGACATTTTTGTACATTTAAACTTTATGGATTTCTTTCTCCATGTTGTGCCCAATAACATTCTTTATGCCAATCCTTAGAAATGTGCTGAGACTTTTATATTATATATCCTAGAAAATACCTGCAGTTTAAATCATCACCTAATTTGATGATAACAGTCGTTCTCCAAGATTCACCATCTGTACAGGCTTAACAGATAGGATAGGAGCTCTACCTTGAATCTTTCATGATCCATTTTTGAGACAGAGTCTCCCCATGTTGTCCAAGCTGGAGTACAGTAGTATAACCATAATTCACTGCAGCCTCTGAACTCCTGGGCTCAAGTAATTCCCACCTCAGAATCCTAAGCAGCTGGGATTACAGGTATGTATCACTATGCCCAACTAATCTTTCAGGATTTCTGATGACGGCCTCAGCGATTTCCCTAGAGATGTAGCACGGTTGTGGTTTACTATTCTGGCTTCTACTTGGCCGTCGTAAGGTTCAGGGAACCAAAGTGGGAATTCTGACAATAGTCAAGTATGTCTACTACAAATATACACTCAGAAACAGGAAACATAAGCACAAGGTAGGTTGTCCAAGGACTTACTGAGCTACCTGTGAAACAAGCTGGGCCTCAAACTCCATTTAAGAACTGACCTAAAAGGAAGCCAATTGTTAAAGAAAAGTAGTGTCACAGCCATATCAGAGTATGGACGGTGAATTTGGCACTGATAGACATTGGGTAAATGACAGTATAGTCACAGACTGAAGTCTCTTGTCTAATCCGTATTTAACACAAGTTTTTAATTTCAACTTTTTTTTTTTGAGCTTTTAAATTTTAATTTTTTAAGTTGGAATCTCACCCTATCACCCAGACTGGAGTGCAATGGCATGCTCATGGCCACCGCAGCCTCAACTGCTGGTCTCAGGTGATCCTTGTACCTCAGCCTACCAAGTAGTTGGAACTACAGGCATGAGCCACCATGCCCAGCTGCTTTTTTTTTTTTAATCACTATAAATTCTATTTTGGAAAATTCTTCAATCTGTCCCCCCCGAGGCCAATTTTTTTTTTTGTTTTTTTTACAGACATGATATCACTATGCTGCCCAGGCTGGAATGCAGTAGGTAGTCACAGATAATGCAAAAACAGCACACTGCAATCTTGAATCCTGTGCTCAAACAATCCTACCTCAGTATCATAAATATCTACAATTACAGGTATGTGGTGCTTCAGTGCTGCCTAATTGTTAAACAACTTTGTTATTTGACCATTTTCATACTTTTTTACACATATTCAACAGTCATTTCAAATTCTGTATCTGATAATCTACCTGCCATCTGTGTAGAGTTTAGATTACAATTTGCTTCTGCTACCTTTTGTTCTGAGGGCATCTCTTTTGGCAGGATAGCTTTGGTTCTTAGCTCAGTCTTTGGTTCTTAGCTCAGGCACACTTCCACGAACAACTCCTAGATCAGAACCAAGTTTCACACCCTAACTGCAATCTTGTAAGCCTTCATAGGTGAGGAAGATGAGGGTTCCGGGGATACGGGCTGAAAGAGTACCGGCACATAACAGAGAAGAGCAAGCGAGCCCAGTGACCGCAGACAAGGTCGGTGGCAACAGGTATGAAGGTTACAGAACTGTCTGGAGCAGGAGTCATGCAAGGGAACCCAGACCTCCTTATACTCCCCTGGCTCGTGTAACTCTGAAATATACTAGGAGCCCTCACTCTCAGAAACAGACTTTTGAGGGTACACATGCCCTGTGATTGCTCTCAAAATCAACTTACTGCTGTACTGCTGGCACAAAAAATAGGGGCCTTGAGGGCAAGGCCCTCGGTCGTAGAACTGCCACCGCATGCCAGGTCTACCCTCTGCACAACTTATGAATTGCTGTTCAGGCAATTCAACACCTTAAGCAATAAGCAACCAACAAATTAGAAGCTTCATCCATAAAAGATTCAAGATGAGCCGGGCTCGGTGGCTCAGCCCGTAATCCCTCCCTGATTGCCTGAGTCCGCGGGTTCAAGACACGCCTGGGCGGCGAGACCTCATCTCCACAATAAATCAAAAAATCAGCCGGGCGTGGTAGCGCATGCCTGTAATTCCGGCTACTCAGAAGGCTGAGGCGGAAGGATCGCCGGAGCCCAGCAGGTCGAGGCTGCGGTGGCTGGGAGCAGCCACAGCACTCCAGTCTGGGCGACCGAGTGAGATTCCAGCTCAAAAAAAAAAAATTCAAGATGACACAGGGAAAGAAGAAAATATCATTAGTCAAGGTTTATTTTAAGGTCTGCAAACATTCAGACTAGTCAAAATGTTGCTACTGTGACATCTTTTAATACATAATTAATATACAACTTTGAGAAATGCAGACACAATGAAATAACCCCTGAACAACACACTATTTGATTCTCAAAGGCAATGGCTATTTAACAAAATGTAAAGTGACAATAAAACATCAAAGAACTTTCACACTTACAGAGAGCACAATTAATAGCAAGCTTGTCAGACAAAACAAACACAAAAGTCTTTACATTTTCCATGTTTGTTTTTTTCTTTGAGTCAGATTCTCATTCTTATCGCCCAGACTGGAGTGCAGTGGCATGCTCATGGCCACCGCAGCCTCAAGTTTCAGGGCTCCAGTGATCCTTCCACCTCAGCCTTCCAAGTAGCGGGAAAAATTTTTTTATACTGTAGAGATGAGGTCTTGCCAAGTTGCCCAGGCTGGCCTCAAACTCCTGGGCTCATGCAATCCTCTCGCCTTGGCCTCCCAAAGTGCTGAGATTATAGGCATGAGCCATAGTGCCCGGCTTATTTGTTTTTAACTTTGTTTCATAAAGCCACTGATAATTGAGACGTCCTTCAAGTATCGGATTTCTAACATTAAAAATAATATTTTCTAAATATGTTTTACTTTAAAAAGTCACAATTCATACGCCAAACAGTAAAACACAATCCAACTGAATGTACAAATGATTCCCTCTTTTCCAACAGCTTGAGATGTCTTCTACATAATTTGTAAGAATTGTTATTATAATCAGTTCTAATTCATTTACACAAATTAGGGAAAAATGATTTATAATGAATTATCTTTAAAATTACTTTCTACGTGCTTCTCCTCGTCCCCCCATCACTACCAAGTCAGCTGCTCAAGTGAACACTACTGTTCTCTTTGAGGGTCCAAAGCTATCTGTAATCTTAATTTCCTAAATATCTAGAGATTTCAATTTTCTGCCAATATAAAACAGACTCAAGTGGCCAAAAGTTAGTAGGAGGAGAAATCCATAGTATAAAGATTTAACTAAAACTTTACTTATGCCCTTCCCTCAAGCAAAAGCACTTTCCAGATCAGCAGTAAATTACATTATACAGTTTAACTTTGCCCTGGGACATATAATTACATCAAAAATAAATAATTTTCTAAGTATTTCATAGTTTAATGGGCTCAAATAGTTTTGTCAGGGGGAAAACAAGCATTTTGTGTTTTTTTAAGAAACTGGCCAAGACATCAATGAACACCTACTATGTGCTCATTTAAATCTGGAGAAAACTTAAAAGTCTGTTTTGTTTTTCCTAAAAAAAGGAAAAAGAACCAAAGTCAAGAAAAATATTGAAGAAAATGTCTACTTTTTAAAAAGAAGCATTATCCAACACAAAAAATGAGACCTATAGATTCAAAGATGCTTTTTTTTTTTTTTGAGTTGGTCTCACTCTGTCACCCAGGCTGGAGTGCAATGGCATGCTCACAGTCACCACAGCCTCAACTTGCTGGGCTCACGGGATCCTTCCATCTCGGCATGCTCACAGTCACCACAGCCTCAACTTGCTGGGCTCACGGGATCCTTCCATCTCAGCCTTCAAATAACCGGAACTACAGGCACACATCACCATGCCCAGTTAATTTTTGATTTATTGTAGAGATGAGGTCTCGCCAAGTTGCCCAGGCTGGTCTCGAACCTATGGGCTCAGGCAATCCTCTTACCCCGGCCTCCCACGTGCTGGGATTATAGGTGTGCGCCACTGTGTCCAGCCTGACACTTGTTTTACTGTCTTAAACAAAATGATAGGCAGATGGAGTCTAGACCACTTAGAATTGAAGCAGCTATATACAAAAATAAAGACAGTACAATGATGTGACTTCAAAGAAAATGACTATAACAAAATTCCACAGCTGTCTTCATGTTTGAAATAATATATTAATGCACAAAATATTAAATACAGTATGGATTTTTCCCCTTAGGTTCATAATCAACTATCAAACTTTTATTCATTGCATTTTGCTTTTACAAGCCTTCTCTAATTAGGAGCCTTCTCTGACTAGGAATATATGCTATACGAGTACATAATGCTGGTATTTCACCATGAAAATTATAGTTCTCTTGTCAAACTAGTGATTTGTCTTTTTACTCACATATATACATCATTTCCATTATAAGACATTTAATAGCTTTCCAGTGGTATATTTTAATCAACATATACATACAAAAGTTTGATTTTTTTTTGACTCTTTTAAGTGCTATGTCATGATGGGTTTAACAGATGGAGCACTATATGCAAACTACATTGTACTTTTTAAACTAATTTCCAGCTGTAGGAAAATGCTTGATTTTTAAAGATATAACCAAGATAAGACTGGAGAGGAAATGAATAAATAAGATGATCTTTCATCAGTGGCCATTCATTATTTTGCTTTTAGGAACCTGGAAGAAATTGTCTTCTTTGAGTTTCAAGTGTTCTGGTAAATCTAGTCGTTTCTTAGCTTCCTCAATATCGCCTTGAATTGCTGAAATAAGTGACTCTGCAGAGAGAATACACCAGATAAAGATGATTAAAAACTGCTGCTAACAAACCTTTTACTATTCCTTTGTTTAGCGTCTCCAAAAAGATTCTCTGGCACAGGGCAGATGCTCAATAAATGTTTGTTCTATCACTTCTTCCTAGTTTAAAAGTCAATGGTACACCGAAAATGTCCAATTTTGTAATTTCTTAAAGGAAGGCATAGGCTTAAAAGTACATTGCAAATATCAAGTGGAAAAAACAAGTATTTATCAGCCAGCTGTGGTGGCTCATGCCTGCAATCCCAGCACTTTCGAAGGCAGAGGCGAGAGGATTGTCTGAGCCCAGGGGTTCGAGATCAGTATAGGCAAGTTGGCGAGACCTTGTCTCTACAAAAAACCAAGAAAAATTAACTGGGCGTGGTAGCACACGCCTGTAATTCCAGCTACTTGGAAAGCTGAAGTGGAAGGATCCCGAGCCCAGCAGGTCGAGGTTGTAGAGGTCGTGAGTGTGCCACAGCACTCCAGCCCAGACAACAGAGTGAGACTCCGACTCAAAAAACAAAAAAGATAAATACTTGTTTTTTGTGCCCAGGCTGGAGTACAATGGCATGCTCGCAACCACTGCAGGCTAGACCTTTTGGGCTCAGGGGATCCTTCCGCCTCAGCCTCTCAAGTAGCTAGAACTACAGACGCGTAACACCATGTCCAGCTAATTTTTCTTGATTTATTGTAGAGACGAGGTCTCACCAAGTTGCCCAGGCTCGTCTCAAACCCCTGGGCTCAGGTAATCCTCTTGCCTCCGCCTCCCAAAGCGCTGGGATTACAGGGGTGAGCCACTACACTGGGCCAGTATTTATTGTTTATGGCATTTATATATTTATAAAAGAAACCTTACAATTGAGTTAAAACTATCATACTACACCAATAGATACCTGATAACATTTGCTTCGAATGTTCTCTGATTTATTGTTTCTCACACTTAAAACATTTTTCAAGGTTTCATCAACTTGCTGGAGAGGTACCCACCCTGCTGGGTTTAAATCTAGACTCCATCACTTACTATGTGAATTACAGAAAGTTACTTAACCTCTCTGTGCCAATTTTCTCCTCTGAGAAACAAGTAAAATAATCCCTTATATGGAGATGAAAGTAGTTAAATTCATGTAAGGTTCTTAAAACAGTACCTGACATATATTAAATGTCCAAATATTATCTGTGGTAGCAGCAGTAATATTTAAGAAGATCAAAACAAGACCTCACCTAAAGAGTCAAAGTTCTTTTCTGGTCTGAGGTAGCCAACAATGGCCACGTTGAGGATCTCCCCATAGAAGTCCTCTTTGAAGGTATGCATGATATGAGTTTCCTATAGTAAGAAATATTAAAAAGATTGTCATCAGATTAGAGTACCTGGAAACTTGAAATACATCTTCATGTTTATGCAAGAGTAACTTTAAGGACATACGTTCTGAGCCCGCGGGTTCGAGACCCGCCTGGGCAACTTGGTGAGACCTCATCTCTACAATAAATCAAAAAATTAGCCGGGTGTGGTAGTGTGCGCCTGTGGTTCCAGCTACTTGGAAGGTTGAGGCTGCAGTGGCTGAGAGTGGCCAGTCTGGGCAACAGAGTGAGACTCCAACTCAAAAAAAAAAAAAAAAAAAAAAAAAGGACATGTTAAAATCTAAGTGCAGCATTTCCCAAATTCTCCCATCGCTCTTGTTTCTGCCCCGACCTTACGTGTAAAAATGACTGAGTGAGGTAGTGGGTATGTTAGACCCCAAATGTGGCAAGACGGCGCTAATTTAAAAAACTGACACGTAGCAAAAGTGAACAAGGTGAAAAAATTGAGCAAAGACATAAGAGAGGGAATGAGCCAAGAATTTGAAAGATGTGACTGCTAAACAACCAGTTCTAAGGTCAGTCAGGATCTGCATGTCTCTGACATTCCAAGAATGGAAACCCCCAAGAGGGAGGCAGAGTTGAAGACTGATGTGGGGGCAGGAGAGTCATGCAGTTTCCTCACCTGGGACACAAGGTAACAGGGTGTGAAGATGGAGCAGGCGGCAGAAGATCTCCTACAGATCTGGGCACTGCTGTGGTAAGAGCTCTGATTTAGAATCCCAAATCTGGGGTCTCACACTCAGACGAACTCCATAACTTGCCTCTGGGGGGCTCACCTTTCTCATATGTAACTTAGAGAGTTATGTTAGAAGATAAAATGCCCATGGTTTTCAGGCTATACATCGATAAACGTGACCTGTATTTTTTTCAGTAAACATTTTAATAATAAAAAAGAAACTAAGATATGTAAGACCTTGACCCTGACAATTACAAGATATTATTGAGAGAAATAATAAATTCCCTAAGCTGATCTACAGATTCAATGCTACCTCAACCAAAATCTCAGATTTTGTTAAACAGGAGAAACTGACAAGTGATTCTAAAATTTATTATGAGGAAAGCAAAATTATTAAAGAAAATCTTGAGAACAAAACTTGAGGCCTTACACAAACCAGCTATCAAGATCTATGATACACAAGTATGCATGAGTGTTATTTTTGGATTCTCATACATGTAAGATCACTTGATTTATGACCCAGGTGACACTGTAGCACTATTAGGAAAGGATAGTATTTTCTTTCTTTCTTTCTTTCTTTTTTTTTTGAGTAGGAGTCTCACTCTGTCACCCTGGCTGGAGTGCAGCAGCACACTCACAACCACTGCAGCCTCGACCTGCTGGGCTAAGTCAGTCCCTCCACCTCAGCCTTCCAAGTAGCTGGAACCATAGGCAAGTGCTGCCAGGCCTGGTTAATTTTTTGATTTATTGTAGAGACAAAGTCTGCCAAGTTGCCAAGGCTGATCTCAAACCCCTGGACTCAGGCGATCCTCTTCCCTCTGCCTCCCAAAGTGCTGGGATTATAGGCATGAAACACCACTTCGGCAGGATGGTGTTTTGTTTTTGTTTTTTTTTAGTTGGAGTCTCACTCTGTCGCCCAGGTTGGAGTGCAGTGTCACAGTCACGGTCACTGCAGCCTTACCCTGCTGGGCTCAGGCAATCTTTCTGCCTCAATCTTCCAAGTAGCTGGAACTACAGGCATGTGCCATCGTGCCTGGCTAATTTGTCTTGATTTATCGTAGAGATGAGGTATCACCAAACTGCCCCCAGGCTGGTCTCAAACCTGTGGAGTCAGGCAATTCTCTCACCTAGCCCTCCCAAAGTGCTGAGATTAAAGGCATGAGCTACTGCACCCAGCCAGGATGATATTTTCAATAAATGGGCTGGGTCGATTCCACATTTCTATGAGAAAAAAACATAATTTTGGTGCATACCACAAACCATATTCAAAAATCAATTTGATGAGAAAAGTCAGTTTAGCTTTTAGAAGAAAACAGAGACAAGTATCTTCATGACTCTGGAGTAGATAAAGGTTTCTTCAACAGATTCTAAAAAGCACTAACTCTTAAGAACTTATGTTCTTCAAAAGATGCCATTGAGTTAAAAAAAAAAAAAAAAAAAAAGCGCTGGGCGCAATAACTTAAGTCTATAATCCCAGCACTTTTGGAGGCCAAGGTGAGAGGACTGCCTGAGCCCCCAGGTTCGAGACCAGCCTGGGCAACATGGTGAGACCTCGTCTCTACAATAAATAAAAAAATTATTATAGATGTGGTAGCTCATTGCCTGTGGTTCCAGCTACTTGGAAGGCTGAGGTGGAAGGATCACCTGAGCCCAGCAGGTCAAGGCTGTGGGTGCCCTTAGCATGCCACTCCATTCCAGCCTGGGCGAGAGTTGAGATTCCAACTCCAAAAAAAAGAGAAAGGGAATAAACTCTTAAGAGCATGAACAATCTTACCAGTGGAAAACTAGATTTTTCCTCTACCAAAGCACTTCCTAGGCATTCCTTAACTGGCTTTCCTATTATAATTTTGGTATCTCCCAAGATATATTTTATCATATCCCAAGACAAATTAGTCATGAGATATCTTCCCTCCTTTCTTTTCCTTCTCATTTGCCAGAAAAGTATTCTGTGAATTTTCATTTTTCTTTATCTCATACAACACATAATTTTTACATCCTTAATGGTCAAAAATAGGTAAAATGTTGAATAAAATATTAAGTAGTTCTGTGCCATTCCTCTTGCTTATGCCAGCACTTAGCTCTATGGTTTTCCAAGGGAGACATGCTTATCTTCTGCTAACTACTCAAACAGAATGAAATCTAGATTAACTGCAAATCTGCTTTTGCCACACACCTTAACTGACAAAAGATTCAACCAAATCTATCAGATAAAACACTTAAGCTTTGTGGGTCCTGTGAAAAAAGTAGGAGAGAGGAAAAGACCCTCCGGTAGTTTGAAAAGGAAAGAGAAAGCACCAACATGGGATTTTATCAATGAGCACCATCCATGTAGTGAGTCATTCTAAACAGGGTGACCAAGTAATTGGTGAATGAAGTATATATAAACTGTGGCAAGCTCAATTTTATGAAACATGCCTTTATTATTTTTATTTATGACTTGGAGTCTGACACTGTCATCCAGGCTGGAGTTCACTGGCACGCTCATGGACACCACAGCCTCAACCTGCTGGGCTCAGGTGATTCCTCTACTTCAGCCTTCCAAGGAGCTGGAACTACAGGCATGCGCCACCATGCCTGGCTCCTTTGTCTGATTTACTGTAGAGACAAGGTCTCGCCAAGTTGCCCAGGCTGGTCTCGAGCCCCTGTACTCAGGCAATCCTCTCACCTCGGGCTCCCAAAGTGCTGGGATTATAGGCGTGAGCCACTGCATCCAGCCCTCTTAAATAAATATTTTACTTTAATCTTCAGTAAAGGTGAAGTGAGTCTCTTGTAGACAGTAATTATAAATGTTAGTATTATTATAATTTTGTTAACTCCACTTTTAATTTTCTATGTAATTTAAAAACATCTAAATAGCAATTATTGCTCTTGGGGGTACACAATGTATGAAGATGTAATTTGAGTTGAGCGCACACGGTGGCATACGCCTATATGTAGTGCCAACTCTCAGAAGGCTGAGGCAGGAGGATCACTTGAGCTCAGGAGTTAGAGGCCACAATGAGTTATGGTCACACTCACTGCACTCCAGCCTGGGCAACAGAGGGAGACCCTGCTCAATAACTAACTAACTAACTAAATAAATACTTTAAGGATGAATTTGTGAGTTCTGTATGCTACTGACGTTGGCATAAACTCAAATTAGACTTTGAGAATTCCAGAATGTTAAGTGTAATCCCCATAGTAACCTCAGAGAAAATATCTATGGGGGGTGGGTGGGATTGGCCATGAGGGAAACTGCCAGGGGAGGGAGGGGCACACCTCATCAACAAGGGTACCCGCATAATGAACATCTGTATACTTAACCCTGAATTGTACCCCATATCTTTAAAGTAAAAATAAATAAAAAAGAAAATATCTATAGAGAATAAACAATAGAAAATGAGAAGAGAACCAAAACACGTCACTACAAAAAATGAAACATAAAAGGCAGTAGTGGGAGGAAATGGACAAGGTATATAGAGAACAAACAGCAACAAAGCAGAAGTTCCTCTTTATCAGTAATTAAACATAAATGGATTAAATTCTACAATCAAAAAGGAAAGACTGACAGAACGGATGATGTAATTATCATTTTACATCCAAAGACAAATAGATTGAAAGTGAAAGGAAGCCGGCTTGGTGGCTCAGCCTGTAATCCCGCGCCTTCAGGAGGCTGAGGTGAGTGGATTGCCTGAGCCCGCGGGTTCGAGAACCGCCTGGGCAGCGAGACCTCATCTGTACAATAAATCAAAAAATCAGCCGGGCGTGGTAGCGCACGCCTGTAGTTCCAGCTACTTGGAAGGCTGAGGCGGAAGGATCCCCGGAGCCCAGCAGGTCAAGGCTGTGAGGCCGGAAGCAGCCACTGCACTCCAGTGGGCGACAGAGGAGACTCCAACTCAAAAAAAAAAAAGAAAGTGAAAGGATAGAAAAAGATACTTCACTCAAACAGTTAACAATATTCTTCAAATCCTTCCAAGATGCTGCCAAAAATTCTAGTATTTGAACTATGTTGTGATTACCAAATTAGCTGTTTTTTGTTTTTGTTTTGTTTTTGAGTTGGAATCTCACTTTGTCACCCAGGCTGGAGGGCAGTGGCACGCTCCCCTGCCGCCACCGCAGCCTTGACCAGCTGGGCTCCGGTGATCCCTCTGCCTTCCAAGCAGCTGGAACTACAGGCACACAACACCATGCCTGCCTAATTTTTTGATTTATTGTAGAGATGAGGTCTCATGAAGTTGCCTGGGCTGGTCCTGAACCTATGGGCTTGGGCAATCCTCTCACCTCACCTCAGCCTCCCAAAGCGCTAGGATTATAGGCATGAGTCTGGCTGCCTGATTAGATCTATTGCATCTAATCCTGCATATTTTTCTAAATCGTCATTCCATCTTCAGTTACAGAGAGAAATACAACGCTTACCATGGATTTCTTTGTATTCTTGTAGTATGGATTCCATCCTATGCTCACCACCATCTTATGGACATCTCCACTTCCAACACTGGCCCAGCCATAATAAATACCAGTGGACACATCAGCTGGAAGATTATCTATGACTTGTTCAGGAAAGTTAGCTGAATAGAAGTAAATATTTTGAGTGTTATGAATTTCATATTAAATATTTTTAAAAGTCACATGCAAGGTTAATCTAAATCATTACATTGACAACTTGCCTCAGACCATGACTATAATGATCAACCTCACCCTTCCATTTTCTGGCTCAGACTTCTTTCTCCTGTTCATATGAATAAGTTATGAATAAAGTACAAAGTATAAAGCATCCCCCCCCCAAAAAAAACCCCTTGGGATAGGAGGGAAAAATCAAGTACAAGAACAGATATATTTTTTCTAGACCTGCTCTTTTGTAAATAAGTTCCGATTCACTTGAAAAAATTCTTATCTCCTTTCTTTTTTTTTTTTGTAGGACTTTCCCTGTCACCCAGGCTGGAATACAGTGGAACGCTCACAGCCACCACAGCCTTTCAAGTAGCTGGAACTGTAGGCACGAGTCACCATGCCCAGCTAATTTACTTTTATTTTTATTTTGAGTTGGAGTTTCACTGTGTCACCCAGGCTGGAGTGCAGTGACACAACCACGGCCACCCCAGCGTCAACCTGCTGGGCTCCAGCGATCCTTCCGCCTCAGCCTTCCAAATAGCTGGAACTACAGGCGCGCGCTAGGGCTAATTTTTCATTTTTTGTAGAGACGAGGTCGAACCCGTGGGCTCAGGCCATTCCCCGCGCCCCTCCCCCGCAAAGTGCGCGCCTCCCAAAGTGCTGGGATTATAGGCGTGAGCCACTGCGCTCCGCCCTCTTATTTTCAAAATACACAATTCTAAGCCCCAAGCCCCAAGTTCAAGAGTGTCAAGAGGCAGCCCCGGTACTATGTCTAAGGATGCATTAAATAGTCAGGCCTTCATTACTAAAACTAATGTAGTCAGACCAAACAAACGACAGTTGCTCTCACTGAACTACCTGCTTTATCATTCGGACATGATAACGAAAAATTCGAAAAAACAAAAAACTTCAGCGCCGGTCTTGGAGTCCAGCCAACCTGGCCCACATCACGTTTCGAACGGGCAAGACAAGTGCCCCACTTGGCCGGCAGGGAGGCGTGAAAGGGGAACCCTGCGACTCCTCTCCGACTTCGACCCCGCCACCCCGCAACCCTGAACCTCCGACCCCCGTGAGCTCGGAGCCAGGAGCCGGGCAACCTTCCTCCTCCTGGCCAAAGGCCCTCCGCCCCCAAACGGTGGGGGTGTCGGGAGGAGGAAGGGAGTCACCGCCGCCCGCGGCCCTGAGTCCCAAGGAGGCCCTGAGTCCCGCGGCTGACGACCCCTCCCCGCCGCCCCGCTCTCACCGGTGGGGATGCCCAGCTGCTTGGAGCCTCGGCCGAAGCCCCGCACCACCTGGCCCCGGCAGAAGTACGGCAGGTGCCTCATGACGCCGTCCGCTCGCGCGACGGGCTGTGGCCCGGTCCGGGCGTCCGAGGGGGCCGCCGTCGAGGCGGTGCCCGGACCCCCGGACCAG